CCACTGAAATAGCTGTTTAGCGAAATCATTGTCTAGCGAAAAGCATTTCCCCATTGGAATGCATTGAAGCCTGTTTAATGCATTCTAATGGGGAAGAATCGTCGTTGCCTGGCAAAAATCGGCCATAGGAAAGTCACTTTGCGAACCACTGATCAGCTGTTTAAATCGCTGTCTTGCGAAGCTTAGGTCCCGAAAACACCTATTTTGCAAAAATCGGCCATAGGAAAGCCACTTAGCGAACCACTGATCAGCTGTTTAAATCGCTGTCTTGCGAAACTTAGGTCCCGAAAACATCTGTTTTGCGAGCGCGGAGGGAGCTGTCAAAATCGTGGTCTAGCAAAAATCAGTTTGTGAAGCAGGGACCAAACATTGTCCAGCGAAATTCCCCCATTGAAATCACTGTTTTGCGAATCGCTATAGCGATTGCAAAAAGTCAATGTCTAGCGAAAAAACTGTCATGCAGGGTAACTGTCTAGCAAGGCACCACTGTAATCCGTTCTGGGCGAAGGGGGGGGGAGAATGAAAAGCAAGCAAACCGTGCAAGACCCATCGGAAATGCAAAAAAAGCAAAACAGAAATCAAGCAAACCATGCAAGACCTATCAGAAATGCAAAAAAAGAGCAAGCAAATCATGCAAGACCCACCAGAAATTTTAAAAAAGCAAATCAGAAAGCAAGCAAACTCCCCAAGACCCATCGGAAATGCAAAAAACAAAAAAGGAAAGCAAAAAGTAAGCAAACACCAGGAAAGCAAAAAGCAAGCAAACACCCCAAGACCCATCAGAAATGGGGGAAAAACAAAAAGCAAATAAGCCCCCAAGACCCATCAGAAATGGGGGAAAAACCCAACAAATGGAAAAAAAACCCAAGAGACATCACAGCACAGAAACATAACCACCACCACCCACCCAAAACCATGCTGCAAAACCCACCCAGAACATTTTTTAAAAAGCAGAAAGCAGCACCTTACCAGGCAGTCCCGAGCCTCCTTCGATCACACACTCTCTTACTGCTGGGACGAAAGAGCAACAAAGAAGCAGGCTCTTCGCCACCAATGGTTAGCAATTTGAATTTCCCACCTTCCCCCCCCCGCCTTTTTCTGTTTGTAACTGGAAGCTCCGGCCGCAAGTTGAAGCAAAATTTTGCGACCGGAGCTGGTCATAACTCGAAATGTTCATATGTCAGGACATTTGTAAGTCGAGGCACTACTGTAATAATAATAAAAAGAAAATTTAAAAAAAGAAAGAAATTGTAGCCCAGGAATATCTGTAGAGCTGCATGTTTCCCCACTCTCTCCTCTGTCAGTTGCTAAGAAATTACATTGGCATGGAATGAGTGTATTTTCTGTTTTCTGGACAACAACTAACAAAACTATGACCAGCAAGTATGAATAATATTAAGATTTTTTTCCTGTAATAAGATGAGATAAAACCAAGGATAAAGAATTTTGACTTAATACATAAGTTCCAATCCATTGCTGTCAAGCCAACTGTGACCTCTGGTTTAACAAGCAAGGACAACAAAGTTGAATGCTAGTTAATTCCTCCTTGTTGCAATTCTGGGTCTCCATGTAGTGATATGACATGAGTGACAAAATGGAAACCTTGTTTTTTCTTTCTCCCAGCTATGTGGCAGGTGGAAATGAGGATGGGGCATATTTGAGACCAGCATCTCAATCCTTTCCATTTATATACAAAATTGACCGGATAGCTCAGTGAGTTGGAGCACTGGGTGGTCAGGAGTTCAGGAAAAAAGCCAGCCTTTCTGGCCTTGGGCAAGCTACACAGTCCAGAGTGCCTCCAAAAGATGGGAATGGTGAACCACTTCCAAGGACTCTGTACCTAGAAAATCTTGGAAAGGATTGCCAGATGTTGCAATGGACTAGTGTACGTTTGGGTGAGAATAACATTTTGAGACAAAGCTACATTGAGTTGCGTGCTTGCTTGACTTATCTGTCATGTATTAGTAAAGCTAATTACTTTGCTTCCTAAAGCTAGGAGGCATTGTTTCTAGATTGCTGACACACAGTATTGATGGTTGAACATCGTGTTCTTTCATGCCAACACTGTACAAAAGGCTAGTGGATTTGTTTTGTGGATTTTCTTAGGTTTGTTCAAGTCAAGAACTTCCAGAGCATCTGAATTAAAGTTCTCAAGGAATGCTGAATTCAAGCACCCCAATCCAGCTATGGGCTTTCTTTCATGTATACATAGGTGCATGTGCATTCACATACACATATACAGTGATGCCTCGCTTAACGATTGCCTCATTTAGCGATGAATTCGCATAACGATGTGTTTTTTTAGAAAATAATATGCCCCGTATAACGATGTTTCCTATGGGCGATTTTCGCTTAGCGAAATTTGGGACCATGCTTCGCATAACGAATGTGATTTTAGGTCCCCTGCTTCACTTAACAATGTTTCTTTTTTCAATTAAAAAAGTGTCTTAGAAGGGTCAAAAACGGTTCTAAATGCTTGGATTCGTTAGAGGACCCCCTAAGTCATGTGCAAAAAATTTGCAAAAATTGACTTCGCAAAGCCATTGAAATGTATTGAGTCAGCTTCAATACATTGCAATGGAGGAAACATTGTTTCGCTTAGCGATGTTTCCTATGGGTTTTTTCGCTTAACAAAGGCAATCCGTTCCAATTGGAACGGATTAACCGGTTTCCAATGCATTCCTATGGGAAATGGTGTTTCGCATAGTGATGGTTTCACATAGCAATGTTTTTTTTTGGAACCAATTAACATCGCTATGCGAGGCACCACTGTATCTGTTGCATGTACAATTCCATAGTTTAATCCCCTAGCCAAAGTTGTGAACCAATAGCCCAGTTAACATCTCTCAACTGTTCAATATAAAGTGAAGGGTGATAGATTTTCTTCACACTTCTGTCCTTAATGGATTTTCTTTGGTAAGGAAAAGATAAATGAAGTGGGCGGGGGGAACCACGAAAATTACAAAGTAGAAGGCAACAATGGCATCTGGAGCCTCAGCTCAAGCTCATGTGAGAAATTTAAACAGGAACGCAAATGATCCTGATAGTTTAAGGACCCCGAAAACAAAGAACTTTCTTCATGGAAGAAGAAATCAAAGTTGCTAAATAAAAGCCTAATTTGGAAGTACCTTGAATTTCTTATCTAAGAGCCAAGCATGGTCAGGAAAGTTCTGCAGATTTTCTGTCCTGCACCCTTCCACTATATCCGGTTGTCACATTCTACAGCCTGCCACGGAGCTGATGCAAACCAGCTTCATTATTTATTTGGTGACACTGCTCAATACAGTACGTGAATTTGAATGTGGTGTAGCCAGTTATTTAGGCAGGAACTGTTCCTTGTCATTATTTATGAGGCTTCAGAAGGTGACTGTTCATTTTTAGTTGTTTTTCTCTCTTTCTTCATAAGAGTGATGTTGCCCCTAACCTCCCTGTCATCCACTTTATGTATGTGCCATTTTTCCATGCTGAAACCATGGTCAAACAGCTTACCCAAACATCAGAAAAATGTATCTGATCAAACACAGCAACATTCCAGGATACATCAACATCAATTCTAAGTCAAGATTTAAATAGACATGGAAATATGCTAAATATTTCAGACTATCAAATATACCCTAAGACAGTGGCTGCCAGCTTTGGATAACCCAGGGCTTCTTGGACTGCAGTTCCCAGAGGCCTTCAAGTCTGCAAGTCAAACTTAAATTTTGCAGCCAGAGAAGTCTGTAACTCAAAAAGTCTGTAAGTCAAGCCGTCTGTAAGTCAAGGGTCCACTGTATACCCTGAGACAGTGGCTGCCAGCTTTGGATAACCCATGGCTTCTTGGACTGCAGTTCCCAGAGGCCTTCATCACCAGCTGTGCTGGCTGGGGTTTCTGGGAGTTGCAGTCAAAGAACACCTGGATTACCTAAGGTTGGGAACCACCGCCCGAAGATGTAAGGCCTGGAAAGTTGTTTTTCAAACAAATGATCATAATAACATGCTAAAATTTTCTGTAACTGAGCAGTCGCGTGATGCCCTGGGATCTAGAGTATCATACAGCTGCTCAGTAACATATGCATTCATATATTGCAGTTATTCATCTTAAATGTAAGTTTGGAGACTCTGCATTAAACAATTTACAAATAATTCACACTACAGACAAAACAGATAAATGGGGAAATCTGCCATTGGAGTGGCACACAGGCCACCTTAAATGGTTTGGTTTTGCTTTTCACACAGTTACTCACCAATGTGAGCTCAGTTTGTCTGCTCTATCAAAAGCTGAACATTGTGTTCCTGAAGAGGGATGAGATTATGATGATTGCAAAAAGTGCAAAAATCCCAAGACCAGTCAGATACCCAGATTACTAATTGTAAGCTATGTTTGTGATGTTAAAAGGGGTATCCTGTTGTGGTATAACCCTCCTGTGGATTTGGCATCTTGAACACATTTTCCAAAGGCTGTGACCAGAATGGATAGCTTAAAGTCCTAGTCTGGACAAGATGAAACACTCTGGTAGTGCTCAGATATTCATTCCTTTTACTCTACCTCCTCCCATTTTTAAAGGCACGTTTGGTAGAGATGTGAGAGAGGGTCTTCTTTATGGTGCTCCCAGGCTGTGAATCTCCCTTCTAAGAGAGGCTATGATGGCTTCCTATTATTTTTCTCCCAGCAAGCAAAGACTCTTTTATTCAAGCGAGCTTTCAGCAATTGATGAGAAATTGATATTTAATGGATTGGCTCTTAATTTCTTTATTTGCTGTATTTTTAAATTGCTTTTTGATTCAAAAATGCATTCATATTATGGTGGTTAAAATGTACTTCATAATTTCTCCCAGTTTTTATCTGCACCTGTTTTAATCTTACTGTCAGCTGCCTTGAGCACTAGCCTTGGGCAAGAGATGAGATGTAAATCAAACAAGCAAGCAAACAAGGTGTATGGAGAAGGGTGGGTAGGTACATTTGTGGAGTTGGGAAGAGGCTTCTTTGTTGGTGATGTTTCTAGCTGTCCTGTTTACAGTGGGCTGCGAATCCGATCCTCCTGACGTGGTATTCCTGCCAGCTGAACTAAAAGTGCTCAACGGCCCAGAGTGTTTCCGCCTGCAGCGTACGGATCGTTACTTGCCAGGAAATGCCTCCCTCAGCTCCCGGTCGGAAACCTTCCTCTTCCTCCACCGTCGACTCACAGGGAAGCCCACCATCCAAGCTGCCTACCAGCCTTTCACTGCCCAGCAGGTAATCAACCCACACGGCTGTGGAAGGCACCTCTCCTCTGTAAGCAATGGAGCCGAGCTCCTCTCCTGCCATCCCAAAGCTCAGGCTTTCTCTCTTCTCCAGGCGGTGCCATCTGACAACTCCCAGTACACAGACAGCTCTGCAGCCTGGGACATCCGGGCTGTGTCCATCGAAGGCACTGTGTCTCCTTATGAGCCATACACCAGAGTCCTCTTCCACCTCCAAGGGCAGGACTGGATGTCGGAGAAGCAGGCCTTGCCGTGCATCACCCTGCACGTCTTCCACCAGGCCCAGGTGGTTCACCGGGCCTGCCACCTCCAGGTTGGTAACAGAAACAACTGTGAGGATGGTCCTGAACTGCCGCATGAGGCGAACACTTGAGTCCTACAGATTAAGTTATGAGGGGGCTCTCAGCCAGGATTTCGAGGGCCATGGAAGGGTTTCTTCACAAAACAAGAGGTAAGGTGTACAAGTTGCCCGGAAATGTTAGGCAAGATTCCAACTTCCTTGGAAGGTGCAAAATGAAATAATGGGCAGACCAGTCGCCGAAATGGTTTAAGTTTAAAAATCCCTTCTAGTAAGAAGCATGTAATAGCTTCCAGCACTACAGAGCAGGGATGGCCATTAGGGGTGTGCAGAGGGAAAAGTTCCATACAGCTTTTGTTTGGGATTCTTTCAGGAGGCTCCTCTTTCGTTTCCAGGTTCTTTCAGGTAGCACTACTTTCAGTAAACCAGGAAGGCCCAGATCTTTTAGATTATTTCATTCCAGTTTTCTCATTCAATTTGCTGGTGCTAAAACAAATTAAGCCCTACAGAATCCACAAAACTATTGGGGGGAGAGCAGGGACGAGACAACAGAAGAACAGCAGTACATGAGAAAGAAGATCATCTGTGGTCAACAGCCCTGCTCAGCTTTTGCAGACTCAAGATTGTGGCTTCCTTTGTAGAGTCAAATTGTATTTTAGTCCTACAGGTTTTAATTTTATTTTATTATTATTATTATTTTGTCTTTGGTCTTGCCCACCACTTGATCAGATAGATTACTGGGTTCAATGGAACAGTGGTCTGACTCAGTACAGGTTGCTTTATAGATTCTTATAGCTCAGGGCGGGTGAATCTCAAAATGAGGAAGTGGTATGATCCTTTCCCTTTTATTCCTGACCAGGCACCCTTGGGTGTGTGTGTGGTAGAGCTAGAGCTTCCGGCTCACTGGTTCTCTCCTCCACCTGTGGGCACCAGGCAGCGCAAATCAGAAGATTCGAATATCACCCCTCTTCGAGCTGAACTGTACTATAGCCTGGAGGCCATGTTGCCTGGGAAGATACCCGGAGACTGCCCTCACATGCGGATCCAAGAAAAGCCACGTCCGGGCAGTGAGGGCAACAAGGAGAAGCTGCGCTATGTGGGACCTGTGGATATCCGAGTGATGAGCCCACCACGGCGCCAGGAAGTACGGTTGGATGACAATGTGATGGTCCGGGTTCCCGACATGGCCCTGCGCCCGGGGCAGCTCTTTACAGCCACCCTTATTCTGCAGCAAAACTTCACTGCAGATATGCTGACCCTCCGGTGAGTTGTGCCAGGCAGGTTGTAGCACTTCTAGATACCAAATATAACTTGTCAGTTCCAATGGATGATAAAGGATTTTGAATTCCAAGAAGTAAGCTGAAGGGCAACCCACTGCATCCATCATCGAACAATTGTGAATCGTCATTGTAAGAGGTTGTCGTAATCGTAATAAGCACAACCATAGTATCATGTTTCCAGGTGTTCAGAATGATTCAGTTTTTCTATTTACTTTTAAGTCTTACTGGAAGCTAGGAATGGAAAACCTCCTGCCTATGGGCTGGATGCAACCTGTGAAAGGCCCCTGTACAATTTGCCAACTATTTTGCTTCCCTTTATTCTGAAAACATGGGGATAGTCAACATGGGGTGGCTTCTGCCAGGGAGGCCAGAGTCTTCCCTTTTCCAATCTGTGGCCCCTGCCCAGCAGTCCCGTTTCCCCCCCCCCCACTCCCTTCTTGTTCTGCAATGAGGCTTCAGATTATACTTCCACAGATGGCTTTTGAAATTCCTCTTTGAACTGCCTGGAGGCATTTGCAGGGTCACTATCAAGCAAGGTGACTGTCAGTCCCTGACCCACCCTGTGACCCCCTCCCCTGCAAAAACCACCCTTTCCCCATCCTACTGAATCTTTTTGAAGGCCTCAATAACACTCGTGGTCACTTTTTAACAGCCTCATGGCGACTGAACACAGGAGTACATGCGTATGTGAGTATGTTTGCAAGGGGTGGGCAATTACACTTCAAGCTGTTGATGGTTCTTCCTGCTCCTGGCATGCAGACCTGGGTGTACTTGCCAGGAAACCAGTTCAGCTTTTGGGGCAAAAAGGTTCCCCACCCCACTTGTAATGAAAAACCGTGTCATTCTCCCCACACTTTAGATGGTGGAACTGACCCTGAGAGAAAATGGCCTCCGGTTACCTAGAGAATCCATGGCAGAGGTGACTTTCAAGCAGGTCCCTTCCCAATTCATAGCTCGGCCTCTTCGACTGTCCACTGTGCCAGCTATCAAATACAGTCTCCTTGGTTTCAAAACATTTATGCCTTTGTATGCCCTAATCCTGGCTTAGCTTTGGCCTAGAACTTTTGCCCACCATTGGGCCTGTTCTGCTGACCTCTGCTTGTTTGCACCTCTTATTCTGAGTGCCATTTGTAGTGGAAAGGCAGGATGCCATTTAGTGTTCAAGTATTTTGGTGCTTTTCCTTTCAGAATCAAGGTGAAGAAAGGGCTACAAGTCCTGGCTGCCCGTCTTGCTAGTCCAGAGGCTTGGACGGCAAAGCTGGACAAGTTCAAAGGTGCCAAACACCACACCGCGCTAGTGACCTGTCGCCGTTCCATTGGCAGTGGGTTGGACTGGAGGTAGGTAACTTCACCTGGACTGCCACAATCTCAGGGGAAGACCCTGCCCTTGGATGGCTGATGGAAAGATTCCTAAAGCTTGGAGAAGTTGCTTTACGGGACAGTTCTTCCCACACATGCTAGGGAATTTGGAGAGCTCTACTGAAATCTACTTATCTTGAATGAAAGAGCAAACCTGTATCAGCACTGAAAAAGTATCTGATGGAGAGAAAAGGGCCAAGAAGGGACAGTGGCCCATTCTGTGACCATGATGAGAGATGCCCCAAACATTTTCATGCAGTGTTCCCTCCCGCGTGTCTCCTCCATTTGGGAAAGGGAATGAGAGAGCAGTCTGTTGCACAATGCTGGTTAGATGCACTCTGAGCACCTCTAGCTGAGGTTGCACAACATCCCCTGCCCACTTTTTCAACAGAGAAGGCTGACAGGACAAGAGCGGGTTGTGTCCAGCTGCATGGAAGTGTTCAGAGCACCTTCAGGCATCCCATCTGTCTCATGCCTTTCCTCCTTCGGAGCAGAAAAGGCCAGTGGAAGGAATGTTTTCTCAGTTTGGCCCCCGAATGGCTGATTTCTGATCATGGCCACCAAATGGCATAAGCAGATTTGTTCTGAAGCCTCAGTGGAAAGAATTGTGTGAAAGGATGAACACTATTCAGCTGTCCTGCCATTTCAGTATTATCTGGCTCTCAGTGAATGGGTGGGTGCATAATTGCACCAGGATGTTCTGTTGAATGCCTCAGCTGCTTCTAAGTTCTTCAGTTAATTTGATGTCTGCTGTTCTCATTCCCATTCAGGGCAACAGATTCCCCAGAGTTCCTGTATCTTGATTTTGTGGTGGAGAACAGTACAGGCGGTGTGGCTTCCACACGTCCTGTCACCTGGCAGGTGGAGTATCCTGGTCAGGACCCTGAAGCTGAGAAGGACAAGATGGTGTGGGAGATCCAAGTATCAGAAAGAGATGTGCGGGCCCTAGTTCCACTGGTGAAGGTGAGCCCTAGAGGCCTTCCTGTCTTTCCCCCCTCATGAAACTTCTCAGCAGGCTGTAGCGCTGGTTTTGTCCTTTCACTTTCTACAGGAACAGGAGATTGTGAACACTGCACTCCTCACAGGAATCCCTCACTCAGTGCCTGTGAAGCTGGTTGTGGTAGAGACAGGGGGAGCGGTGTCAGAGGTACTGGAGCAGATGGGTTGTGAGTCTTCTAACAAGCAGGTCCTGCAGGTGAGGAATCAGTAAATTTCGCACAAAAAATGTTTTTGTTTTCTGCAACCCCAGTTTCAAGACCAAGATGCACAGCCACTTGTTAATTTTGCAATTGTTAAGAACAACAAAAAGTCTTGTGGCACATAACAAGTTTTATTTGGCACAAGCTTTTGTGGGCTGCAGCTTATTTGTGAAGTTTAAGCTAAATAAAGGTTGCTAATCTTTAAGGTGCCACAAGCTAGATTGGTCTCCTCACCCCTTCTACAGAACCTGTACTGAGTCTTCTTCACTCTTTGCCTTATCTTTGTAAGAAGACACTGGCCATAAACCTCAAAGGATCAGGCATCTTGTTTGTGTGATTTAGCTGTTTCCATTTGTCCATCTTGTATGCAGAAAAAGTAGATTCTTCCCTCCTGGAGTGGTTTTGTGCTGCTCTTCTAGACTCTCTGGCTCTTACTGGTACTTGCACGGTGGCCTTTCCCCCTTCCTTCCCTGCTTTGAATTTCCAGCTAGACAAACTATTGATTAAATTCATTCTATATACAGTATTTGGGTCTTCCCTACTACTGGCTTCCACCACTGGTCACAGCCTTGCCATCATCTGTCTTTTCTCCTCAGCTTCCCCTATCATTTAATGTGCAGACTATTTATATGGGGGAAAAGGACTATAATGACAGAGAGAAATGTTGGGCCACAGGGGAGAAAACAAACACTTCTCCGTCTCAGAAAAACTCCACTCTCTTTCTCAATTTTCTGGGCACCTTCCAAGATCTACCCATTCCAGCAGGTTATAAGAGGAAAGAGCCCCATAAGAGTTATAGCTACAATTCTTGGCTGAATTGTTGGACAAGGGAGGGAAGAAAATGTCCATTGTGGGCCTTTGACAAGGTTTGTCTTAAGAAATGGGGCTAAGACAGCTCCTTTTAAACTTGTTCTGTTTCCAGAATCTTGCCCTTGGCGTAGTCTTGAATTCTCTCTCTCTCTCTCTCTCTCTCTGTCTCTCTCAGGTGTCAGATGTGTGTGATGCAGTCTATGTAGGAGGAAAAGAGAGCCGAGGGGCACGTGGTGTCCGGGTGGATTTCTGGTATCGTCGGCTACATGCTTCACTGTTGTTTACAGTCTGGGCCCCGCTACTTCCTCTGCGCATTGAGCTGACAGACACTTCCTTGGAGCAGGTGCGAGGCTGGAGAGTACCTGGCCCAGCCCTTGACAGGTAAGTGTTGTAGAGCCAACAAGGTTGGCAGCATTGGGTTGACTGAGTGTTCACCTCCAGTAATGCTGGCCACTTGTCATTAAGCACCAAGGAGGAGGAGAGTCAAGGAATCTGAATAGGAGAGGAGGTGATATGGGTTTTCAATTTCTAGGGAGTATTTTATTACCAAAAAGATTGGTACTTGTAGAGTCATTCAGATTCCTCTGTGGAAGTCCAGATACTTCATGGTCTCTGAATGTAAAGAATTCAAAACTGAGTGGCGATTTAATACAGATGGGAGCAGCTCCTGACAGTTTATATGGAAAGTTGATAATTACGCCATAGTCTGTTTCAGCATCCAGTTAGTAGCACTTGCCGCAGACCTTACAAAGTTGCTGAGATAATGTACCTAGAATGGGTAATGTATCTCTAAGAGAATTGAAAACAACTATGGTTTTCTCCTCTTCTTTGCACAGCAGCCTAACTGAGGCTGAAGACGGTGCAGAGGAAGCTGAAAGGAGAGCTCGTGGCTGCCGGCTTCAGTACCAACGTGCTGGTGTCCGTTTTCTTGCCCATTTTGTGGCTCACCCTCTAGATGGTGGCCGTCATCTGACCTACATGCCAAGCTCCGATTGGCTGCTGGATGTCTCGCATCTCGTGCAGAAGCATGCCAGAATCCAGGATCCGCGAGTGGCCATACTAGAAGGAGGAAGTGTGGTCATTGGCCGTGAACCTGGCATGACCTCTGTGGAGGTACACAGTTGTGCAAGCTTTTGGTGACACTAATAGGTTTTCAACATCTGTGACATGTTCAAGGAGTGGTTTACTAGACCCACTTCCATTAAACTTCCATGACTAATGGGGGATTTGTCTACTCCACCATGCTAAGTTCTGATGGAGGTATGTAGCCTGTACAAAAAACGGTGAGGCTGAGTTGCTTTGTTACTCTGCGTGACTGTAATGAGAAGCTTAACTGAAGTGTGGTAGTCAGTCACGTATTGCAGAAGGGTTGCTTGAGAGGCTGAGACCTATGCACTTTCTGTGGGCTATGAATGTGCTTTTTATAGCGAAACTGTGTCTTGTCTGTTCCCTGGTTCAGGTGCGTTCCCCCGTATCTGACTCTATCCTGGGGGAGCAGACCCTGGTGGTGTCTGAGGAGAAAGTCTCCATCTCAGAGCTGCGGGCCCAGTTGGTTTCAGGTCTCTCACTGACTCTCTCATCAGAGGTGGGACACCCAAATATCTTCACCGCCACATGTCAAGGACTTTCTGCTTTGCGTTCCTTGAAGCAGGTGAGATGATACTGGAGCAGTTAGTAGCATTATAAGTTTATTGTCAGCTTTTTGGAGCAAAAGAGATGCTAAACATGTAAACCAGAGATGCAGTTTTCACCTTGCTGAAGTCCACTTAAGCTGGGCTTCATGGGAAATGTACAGTTGCCATCAAAACTGGCAACTTCTGAGTTTTCTGGTTTCCATTTTGCCATAATCCAGTCAAACCCATGTGGGACAACATGTGGTCAAAGAAGATGACTGGGAGGTGGGGAGCATACACCTGGATGTGCTGCACTGAATGGCTTGAATTGATTCCAGTCTGATGCTGTAATGCAATGGTCCCCAACCTTAGGCCTCCAGATGTTCTTGGACTTCAACTCCCAGAAATCCTGGGCAGCAGAGTTGGTGGTGAAGGCTTCTGGGAGTTGTACTCCAAGAACATCTGGAGGCCCAAGGTTGGGGACCACTGCTGTAATGGACAGGTTATACCTCTGGCTCTTCTTCACCTCTTGAAGGCACATCCCTGGGGCTCTTGATAGGATCTGGAAGGTCTGGCTATAGCACTGCTTCAAGAAAAGGCAAGAAAAAGAACTTTTGGGACTCTAGCTTCGTGAATCCACTAACTAACATGGCCATTAACCATGCAGAGTGAGGGATTCTGGGAGCTGTAGTCCACAGAAGTAGCTCCCTTCCCAAGTTCTGCGTTACAGCGCTAGGCTCCAAACTCATCAGGTCTGAAGCACATATAAGTCTGTGTGATCCCCCAGCCCACCCCCCACTTCACTCTGCCCAGCTCTTCATCTTATCCAAGTGGCATCTTCTAACTCTTGACACCCACTTTCTTTTTCCTCTGCAGGAAGCGGTGTTGAGCCTCTGGCTGGTGTTCACTGACCATACCTTGGCTCCTGTAGAACTGTATGGCTGGCAGGATGCCGCACTCTCCCTTTCTTCTCTGAACCCTCACGTGGTCTCTGTGCGGCTGGAGGAGGAGCAGGCTCAGCCCATGGTCGTGGCCGAGGGACCAGGCCGAGGGCCTCTTCTGCAGCTCAGCCTGCATTCCCCGGACTCTTGCCGCAAGGGCAAGCACAGGGCCCCTCTTGCCCAAGGCACTGCGTGGCTGGAAGTGAACTTTGGCCAGCGCCTTCTTACAACGAGCACCCCACAGCAACAAGACACCCATCTTCACGGAGAGCCCCCCTTCCAGCGAGCAGAAGGTGCCATGTCAGGTGAAGCAGTGACGGTTGCCGCGGTCACAGAGAGTGGAAAGGGGTCGAGGAGACGTGGCTCAGGGGGAGTGGGGCCGCCGATTACCAAATTTGAGGGACCTGGTGGGAGCTCTTACGAGGATGTAGGACAGTTGGAAGAGGAGGAGGAGGAGCAAGAGGAAGAGGAAGATGAGATGGTGAAGGCCCCTGCAAGAGTGACCGATCTGGAGATAGGTATGTACGTCCTCCTGGGTGTTTTCTGCCTCGCCATCTTCATCTTCCTCATCAACTGTGTAGTCTTTGTCCTTCGCTACCAGCGCAAGGAGCTTCCCGAGAGTGGGTCAGGCCCAGGCTCTTCCACCCAACAGCCTCACAACTGGGTCTGGCTGGGCACTGACCAAGAGGAGCTGAGCCGGCAGCTGGATCTGCGCCACCCGCACTGCAAAGACCAGCCCCAGGACCCTTCCCGCACCAGTGAGAAGTGCTCTTGCTGCTGCACGGGACCAGAAGGGAAGATGGAGGCTGTGGCCCAAGAGAGCCCGGCTCCACTTCCAGGGCCTGAAACAGAAACCTTATTGGTTTCGGGCAGTGCCTTGGGCTCGACGGCCCACGGAAGCCCCGCCCTGACCACCACTTTGTCTCGGAAGAAGGAAGGCAGGGAGGTGGGCGGGCGCCGGAAGCGTGTGGAGTTTGTGACCTTCGCCACTCCTCCGGGCTCTGCTCCCAGCCCCCCTGCCTCTGCGCCGGCTGTGCAGTCCATCCTGGTGGCCAGCGAAGATGACATCCGCTGGGTGTGTGAGGACATGGGGCTGCGTGACCCAGATGAGCTGCGCAGCTACATGGAGAGAATCCGGGGCAGCTCCTGACCTCAGGCTCTCCCATCCATACCCATCTGGGCAAAACAATAAGGGATCAGCGCAATTGATCCTCCCTTGGGTGCTCTCCTAGGGTCATCATCCAGCTGGTCTTTCTACCTTTTTTTACCTTTTAGAGAGGGGCTGTACACAACCAGCCTCAGGCTGCTGCTGTGCTACAGGGGGAAACTGGGCCAGAGATACTCCTGCTGGTCTCTATGTTAGAGATCTCCTTCCTTGGCCATACTACTAAGCCCATCCCCTTTTCATTCTGGAGAGGGATTTTTACAGGTCAGAATCGACCCCCTCCTGTTTTTCTTTCTTTCTCTCTTAGAGGAGGTGGACCGCTCCCTCCTGGGGAAGTAGAACCCATGTGTCCTCATGGATTCTCCCCACTTCCTATCTTACAAGAATGATTTCACTGGGCGCAGGTGAGAGGTGGCAGACTGGAAAGCCGCTGCATATATTGCCAACTATGATGTGCTCTGGGAGGGAACACAGGGGGCCTCTTCCGGGACCTCCCTTATTGCTTTGACTTTCATTGCCAGTTTGTGTCCATTGTGATGGTTTTAACAGCGAGTGTCCTTCCTTCCTTCCTGTGGTCTCCTGAGCCTCTTCCCTTACTCTAACCCTGCCCTCTCCCCCATCCCTTCAAAGCCAGGCAAAAGAGAAAGAGAGAGAGCTCCAGCGAGCCCTGGTCCTTTCCCACCACTACCACCACCTGCTCTGGCTGCGTGCCTGGTGTCCTTAACGGTTTTTGTACGATCGCTCACATTTTATACCTGTAGTATTTGGGAGGCTGCCAAGCAAGTCCTTTATTTATGGAAGATTTTTAATTCTTACATTGTTAAAAAATGAAATAAATAATAATTTAAAAGAAGCAAGCAAGCGTTTCGTTGTGTTGTGCTTTGGGACTAGTTTACATTTTCTTTGCAATGGGTGGGGCCTGTTTAAATCATTGCTGAGAGGTGGGAAACTCCCTTTTTTGACCCACAGTTGACCCAAGAATTCCCCAGCCAACATAAACACAGGCCATACTGCTGAGGGATTCCAGGAGTTAGAATCCCAATTAGTAAATTCTTGCAGTGACACTACCCTTGATCTTAGCCAAAAGGCCAAGAGGCGCTGTATCTGCCACCCTCTGTGACATTAAGGCCAGGCACCTAAGAGACAGTTCCTCACCTAAGAGACAGTTCCTCCTTTTTCTTTGAATTTTTGTCGACTTGATCGTAGCCGAGAATTCAGTGTGATCATTTCACCACTTGGTAAAACGATTCCCATTTAGTACAGTTCTTGGGACTCTCTCTTCCTTGTCAGTAATAGAGGCAAGGCAAGCAATAAGGCAGTTTTTAGGACAGCTCAGACCTCAGGCTTTTCTGGGTAAGATGCAAAAGAGGATTGCACTTTGAACCTATTGAGGGAGCCCAGCAGGGAAGGGGAAAAATCATCACTAAAGGAGATCTGCTACCTTTATTTACAGGTATTCCATAGGGTCCGCTAAGTCAGTACCATGCAGGAATGCAGCTTTTGATTACCTAGTACAGTAGTGCCAACCTAGGGCAAGCATGGGCCAAGATATATACTTAACCTCAGAAATTGGAAACATTCCGTTTTTTTCTTTTTTTCTTTATTTGAAATACAGCTCTCCCCAATCCCCTGGCCAGCAAAGTCAGTGATCAAGCTCTGCTTTGTAATGTAGGCCCATCAACAGTCATGTGCCTCTGAGGCTGACTTGAAAGATTCTGTGCTTTTGCCACTACTGTACCTCCCAAAGCCTGCTGAGGAGGATATTTGATTCCCCCTCCCTTTTGGGTGCCATCTAGAAGAGCCACTTCACATTCCACCAGTGAGTCCTTGTGCCTGGAATCACAGTTCTGTGGAGGAAGTTCAGCAAGTGCAGCTTTCCCCATCGCACCATATCATCCTGTCCCTGTTGGCAGGATCTAGTGCCAACCTAGGGTAAGCATGGGCCAAGATATATACTTTACCTCAGAACTTGGAAACATTCCCTTTTTTTTTTTTTTTTTCTCTCCCCAATCCCCTGGCCAGCAGAGTCAGTGATCAAGCTCTGCTTTGTAATGTAGGCCCATCAACAGTCATGTGCCTCTGAGGCTGACTTGAAAGATTCTGTGCTTTTGCCACTACTGTACCTCCTAAAGCCTGCTGAGGAGGATATTTGATTCCCCCTCCCTTTTGGGTGCCATCTAGAAGAGCCACTTCACATTCCACCAGTGAGTCCTTGTGCCTGGAATCACAGTTCTGTGGAGGAAGTTCAGCAAGTGCAGCTTTCCCCATCGCACCATATCATCCTGTCCCTGTTGGCAGGATCTTCTACAAATATCCAGGTGACAGGAGCTGTCTCCTTCTCTGCAGTTTTGACCTGTGTCTACTCCACAGGAGTCCCTTTTTGCTGCCATGGGCACCTTTTCCCCCCCTCTCGCTCATCAACCCATATGTTACAAACCAGCCGGTCCTACATCATTTACAACTAAATTTCATATTACCAGAAATCTGCAGAAAAATGGCTCCGCATGGAACTTATGTCTAGGATTCCACAGACATCTTGTCAAACATGAAATGTTTCTACAGGGACTTTAACCTTCATTTTCATTTAAAAAATTCATACAGACAAAGAGGAGACAATCCAACATATTGAAAGCTTCCCAGTGAAACGAACTGTGCTATAACCCAGTTCAGCTGATACATTTATTCTGATAGATTAAAGCTCTGCTGACTTTTTTAAAAAATAAAATCTCCAGTAATGGGTGGGATCTGCCCATGCTGGGTGTCTTCTGCACTATTTACATTTAAGATATTGGCTCATCCTTTATGAAGAATGTGTTTTTCTATTTTTGCACAGATCCTTCTATTCCTATTTAGTTGCATTCCAAATGAAACACCAAGTTTCGTTTTCAGATTGTGAGAAGGTTCACTGGAGATCTTAATAAAATTATACATGCTATAAATACATTTTATACACACAAGCTTTTATTTGTAAGATTGGTTTCACCTAGAGGAACCAGAAACACACATGAAAACCTTTCTTCGATATGAAAAAAGATGTCACTAGATAGTATAAATCCATCTTTTTATTTCCTCCACATGGAAGCTATCATGACATCACTTGATGTGTAGATTCAAAATATGCAAGATTTCTGCACTTTTCAAATGTGAGGTCCATAATATTTAAATGCAGAAAAATCCACATCCCTAGAAATGGGACAATGGGTATTCTTTGTTTTTTATCTTTTAGTTTTGTTACACATTTTCCAGACTGTCAGTTCACAGAAAAGAAGAATATGGGTCTTCCCCATAACATATCACTCAAATTTATTTATTTATTTCGCTGTTGATAAAATACTTCCCTCCATCCCTATCACCACCACAAATCTCCCTTTGTTACGCCCTTTCTGGTCTTAAAGAGAAGCAAAATCATGATTTAGGGGATGATTTTAATAAGTCTTTGAGGCAGCCTAAGCTCTTTTGCTGCTTAGGGTGTGAAGCACTGCTCCAAAAAAATCCCCTTCTGGGTTATCCTAGATGCCTTATTTTGCACTCATGTGCTCGTCATGTACATTTGTCCTATCCTACCAGACAGTGTGGGATCCCTCTCACAGATGAGCAGATGCCAGCAGTAGGAATGGCACCAGTAACTGCCATCAGGCAGAAGGAGGTGGTGGCGCAATTGTGCAGGGGAAAGATAAAAGCCAGAGAAAAGAGCAGGTGAATATGCATAACGTAGTAGCGATGGGTGGGCTACAGTGAGGGAGGTACAAGGGCCGCATAAAAAGAAGAGCCCTCTTGCAGGGGCTTGTGAGGTGTGGGCCACATGCCTGCCTCCTTTTCCTTCTTCTTCACCTCTAGATTTGTGGAAGATGCTACTGATCCCTTGAATACACCTTTTGAGTATTTTGGCTGGCTGCACGTGATGGGTCCACCCCCTACTAAATTTCTCTAATCCTTTCTTATAACCATTGGCCTCTATAACATCCCCTCAAGAGAACAACGTGCTGTGGGGATGATCTTGGACAGCAGGCAGAGACCTGGCCAGCGTAACCTCTCTGCTCATAGTCCTGAAAGAGGCCAGGCGCATATCTCAGTTCCCCTCACGGCCAGGGCACTGGAGACAGGAGGTTCGCTGCTGATGCTCATAGCGGATGGAAATCCAGACGAAGAGGACACAGGTTGCTGTCTGAATCCCAGCCAGCAGGAAGAAATAATAATCCATTCGACATTTATTTATGTTTCCTAGGGGAGGAAAACGGGAAGCCATTAGCGGACAAAAGTGGGCCAGCGGTAAGAAACCCTTTACCCAATCAGCACCATTGACCGTTCTTAAGAATTACTTTCCTGAAGAAATCCTATCAAAATGCCTCCAAAGTAATTTGCAGCACCTCTTGAAATGCCTTTCAAAAGCAAAGTATGCTGCTTATATACCGCCCCATAGTGCTTCAAGCACTCTCTGGGTGGTTTACAAGTTAATTACGCAGGCTACACATTGTAAAAGTAACTACAAAATGTTTTATTTTATTTAGTCAGTTAAAATATTTATATCCTGCCTTTCTCCTAAAAAGCTTACAGTATTATGTGTATATATTCAAAAGCAGTAAATTATCTGTGCTACACCGTTAACAGCAGTTTAATACAAATTCAACTGCCACAGTTCCATCCTGTGGAGTCGTGGGATGTGTAGTTTAGTGAAATCCTTAGAATTCATTTCTGCAGTTAAGAGGAGCACCCTGCCAAAAGCTTATAGTACAGAATTCTAAGGAACTCACCAAACTACACATCCCAGGATAGTTTAGGATGGAGACATGACAAAGTCATACCAATGTGCTATAAATGTGAAGCGTTGATAGATACGTTTATAGTCTTCATTGATGAGATGTGGAGTCCAGACCCCATCTGAATGAATATTCTTGATTTTCCCAGTTTACCTCTTTTTTATTTTTAAAGTATAAGTTAGGAAAATCAAAATGACGGCTTCTCCTGCATCTAGAGGTCTGTGTATGTATTTACACAGTACGTTACTTACCATAATCCTCTGGGCAGAACATCCAGCCAGTGTCTGGCAGTGAGAGAAGAGCCAGAAGGCCAGATCCTAAAAGTGACCCAACTCCAGAAATGAAGAAGAAGAGACCCATGATGGCTCCTTGCATAGACTTTGGAGATTCAGAATAGGCAAACTCCAGCCCTGTGAATGACAGGATAGTTTGAAGGAATGATTAGCTAGAGGAACAAAATAATGACTGTTTTCAAATGGTAGATTCAGTGCTTATTTAAAAAATGATGTTTAAAACCATGGACAAGCGCCTTGGACGTATGACTGCCACCTTCCTCCCATTCCTTCCCTCTTCTCTTTGTGTGCCAGATTCATTGTGAAGTTCTTGGCTTCAATTAAACCACAGTTCCCGGTTTCATCCAGACCAAGAAAGTGTGGCTTGATGAGGGTTAACCAACCTGAAAAATGCACCAGGATCATTTCATTTTATTGCCCATCCCTCTGTCCCACCAAACCTCAACATGTGGTTTCAGGTGTGTGTTTGCAAATACGTATCTCTTGTCTTGCTTACCTGGAATGCTGGCAAATATTTCACTGATTCCGATGAGTAAGTATTGAGGGATCTGCCACCAGATGGAAAGAGAGGCTGCAACATACTCATCCTTCCCAATGTGCTGTGAAATGGTTTGATTGTTGTTCACATATTGCAGCCGCTTAGTCTCCAGAACACCTATTGAAAGAGAGCAGTATTTAGAACCATTATGGGGAATAAGTGACACTCCAAGATATTATTGGACTACATTTCCCATCATCCCCGATTATGGGCCATGATGGCTGGAGCTGATTGAAGTGTAGAGCAGTGGTTCCCAACCTTGGGTAGCCTAGGTGGTTTTGGACTGCAACTCCCAGAAGCCTTCACCACCAGCTATGCTGGCCAGGGTTTCTGGGATTTGCAGTCCAAGAACACCTGGGTTACCCAAGGCTGGGAACCACTGGTGTAGAGGGCATCTCTGCACACACCTTATAGAATTAACAAAATGGTTGTCATTTTGCCGGGACTGGATAAAGTACTCAGCACTGCAGATCTCAGACCACCTCTGCAGCTTTAGGAAAGTGGGAAGGAAAAACAACAATGTAATCTTACACTTGACCTTATCCAAAAGGACAAGAAGCAGTAAAACCCATAATACAGTCCTCCTACTGGTACACGCATGAGACGGACAGAGTGAGATGTGATGGAATGAATGCACACCATATTCAAAGCTTTCTGCTGACTATCATCATCACCATTTATTCTTAAAAACCTTTCTTTTGAAGCAGTCAAGGCATTTTCCCATTAAAATACACAATAATTAAAAACAAATCCCCAATATGATCAGATCATTAAATGGCACCTCTTCACAAGAACAAATTATAGCTATGATCCATTGACTATTTAAACATCATGCTTGCATCCCAGCAAAAGCACACGTGGATGTGGATGGGAAAATAACAAGTCACAAAACATGGTCCCAACTTAGCTCCCCCCTGTAGAGATAATTAGGCTTTTAATAAAGTTATGTTGCACCAAAGGTATCTAAAAACTTGAAGGCTCATGTTTGCTTTATGAAGCATTACAGTCTCAAGGGGAGAGTTCCAACGGAGATTTCTGAACATAGAGGTCAAAGTCTGGAAACAATGAACCAGGCTACACATACCCAGAATTACAGGTCTCTAAACAAGCCTGGTTTCTTCCTCTGTCAGAGCAATAGGGTTAATAATCCTCTAAACGTTTATGTTCAAAACTCAAGTCATCTGTCATATGCAATGGAGTGAGTACAAGTTACTGACTGCATTACCCACCTGCTATAATGACGGAGCCAAGGCCAAAGAGCATGCCTAGAGCCATCCTCTTTAAGGCTGAAGGCAACAGCTTCCTCTTTGCCAGGAAAGGATCTATGACTCGGTCCTTCAGTGGAACCAGGATCAGCAGAACCACCACATTAGCTAAAAGTAGCCAGGCGTCTGGGAGCTAGAGAGAGAGAGAGACAGAGAGAGATTGAGAGAGGAGAAAGAGAGAGAGCAATAATAAGATGCATCGACAGATACCATAAATACTTATTTCTTCCTGGAATCTCAATCAGCAAGGACTGCCACAACTGGCTTTTGGAAACAGGTTAACATCTGTTTGTAAGGATTTTTTAAAATTTGTTTTAATGCATATTGCTTTGGCACCCTGATTGGGAAGAAAAGTGATTAGCAATACTTGTGATAAATAATACAGTTAACTGGTTATCAATGGTACTGTGGTGAGTGGACTGAACTGCACACCGATGATGAAGGAATTGCAGGATTGCATCACCCTAGGCTAACATCTGCACAGATCTGTTCAGTCAAGTAACTCTTTCAGCGCACTTGTCTAATTATGCAAACTGCTCCTCCTTCTTATGGCCAACCCCGACAGTAACTGTCTAAAACTAACTCCTGTCATATTCTGTTTTTATACAAGTGGTGGGATTATTGGATCATGCCATTAGTGCACTCCCTCAAGCATGAAAGTCTTCTCCATCCATGCCCAGTTCCATTGACCTCCAGCACAGAGAGGGTGATAGTCTAAAGCAAGGAGCTTCATACCTTTCCATGCTCTCCATAGAAGCTCTCCACTTGTGTTGGAACCCTGATTTTCCAAGGCTCCATTCACGTGGGGGAACCTCCATGCGCCTTACAGGCTTATCTTTTCCCTCATGTAGAGGACAGTGGGAGTGGTAGATGAAGACAGTGAGGCTAGCACATTTCCTGCTTAATATTCACATATGAATAACAACACAGTAGGACTGGAATTAGGTTGAGTTCCAATGTGTGAAAATGCCTTGCTTCTATGACTGGTGATTCTTGCACATGCAACCTTCTTTCCATAATAAAAGCAATACACTAAACCTTTTAAACAGATTTTAGAGACACTGCTATGTACTTTTTGTACGTAGCAGTGTGCCACAGTGCAGCAGTGGTGTAAAATTAAAGGACATTTACCTCAGAACAAAGCTGACGTATATTCAGAGGCCCCACTTGCAACCATCAAGCTGAACTGGTTGGTAGGCTATATCAGAAAGAATGGTGTGTGTGTGTGTGTGTGTGTGCGTGCGCGCGTGTGAGTGTGTGTGCGCGCGCGCGTGTGAGTGTGTGTGTGCGCGCGCGTGTGAGTGTGTGTGTGAGGGTTAAATCAATACCATTTCAGTAATACAGAGATTCTTGCCCAATTCTGAATTAGAAAGGGAATGAAACCTGAATGTGGTCAATGCAAGCCTCTGAGTCATTTCTCTGGAATGCTTCCCTCACTTGCTCAGGCATGGCCTCCTTTCTCCCTTGCCCATTCTTTCTTCCCCTGCTGCAGCCCCATTTGTGGCCTAAGGGGAAATGGAGGGCTTTCTGTTCTGCCGGTGGTAAGCAAGGCCTGAGATCATAGCCGGAGTCATGTGCAGCTTGTCAGGAGCTATTCTGCTTACAAAAGCAGGGATTGTGTCTGGGTTTTTGGTAAGGAGGGCAAATCCTTTTCTGGGTAGTCAGCATATCTCTGTGGCATTTTGCAAACAATCTCTCTTTATTCGCAACTCAGAAAGAAGACTGCTACTCCTTTACAGAGCTCAGAAAGGTAGAATTACAGGTTAATGCAATTGCCTTGAAAGAAACTTGTCTTTTCTTTGGAACTGGGGTGCAACTACAGTAAAAGTTACTTTTCAAAACAAATGTTTCGACTGATATGTCATGACTTGTGTGTGTAAAAACTAACATGGGAGTTTTAAAGACATTTTCATTGGAATTGTTAAAGTTTAGGATTTTTTTAAACTAACCATGGGATAAATAATGGAATGAGCTATATATCCAGTGTCATAACAAATCATGATAACAAAGCACATGTTTAAACACTACAACAAATGATAGAAATTAATTACTTTTTTTAAAAAAGCTCTATCTCTTTATTTGAGCTTCACTGCACTTGTTTCCCCTTTGTTCTGATAGGAAAGAACGGTTGCAATGAAACTTCCTCCACATTGCAGAATGCTAACCTCACAGACAAGAATCTGTGTTGGTTGGGCGCTCTTATCCTGGCTGCTGGGGCTGAGTACTTTACTGTGTCCGATCACTCACCGTGTATTCCCCATCTACAGCTGCCAAGAAACCACTGCTATTCAAATAACTATGATCAAAGATGTTGGGGATGAAGAGGTGCAGACCCTGAAGGTAGTAAGTTGACTGCATCTGAAACACAATGGGAGAGAGACGTTATTAAAGAAAGGCACATTTCAATGGAAAAATCCCTGTCCCGAGATAGATGAAGCCTCAACGGATGTCAAGCTATAAGGGCTAGCATGATGGGGAACTTGTGGTCTTCCAGATACTGTTGGACTACAACTGCCAACATCCCCAGCCAACATAGCCAATAGTGAGGGGAAATGGGAACTGCAGTGCAATGACACCTGCAGTCGACATGTTCTCCATTCCTTGCTTTGATCTCCTCAACAGTGCTTGCCATATACAGGTAATGGTTGTTAGGATAAATTCCAGACAAAATAATACAGAAACACCTTACAAACAGAAACCTGTTTGTAAGGTCAGAAGCTTTTTTTACTCAGCAACAGAACCGACTCTCCTTGAAATTCTACATAGAAAATGCATCTCAGGCTGCTTAAATCCCTGACCATATCGAATGCCAAAAAGAAGTAATTAACGTGTCCTCTCCCTGATGATTAGTCACACATATCTGACTGCATTTGCATGCTTGCCTCTTATTTCCCTTTGCTATATGAGCAGTGATTTCCCCCTTCATAGCTCCCATATTACAGTGCCCTTGCCCTTTCCATTAGAAAGCAGTTAGAGAAACAGGAAGACATTCATCTTGAGGCCAGAAGAGAGTAAAAAGAAAACTAAAACATGGAAATGAGGCCAATTTTTGAAATACAGTGGGTCACAACTGCTTACAAATCCTTAAATTAAACTTGCAGTATATTCTACACCTGCAGAACTGGCACACCAATGAAGTGTGAAAACGAAGGAACCAGGGAGCCCAGTTTCACAGCTAAGAACCATTATGCAGCCACCGTACTGAAGCCAAGCAGATGGGAGTCAGCCTGGGAGACCAATACAGAATGACCTGGTGTTCTATCATGGAAGAACGGTGGGTGTAAATGTATTAAGTGAACTCTGAACATTCTCATGCAGCTTTCTTGGTGACAGCACAGGATGTGCTCTCAACTCGGGTTGCATCCATGGGTCCCCTGCCCATCTGCCCTGCCTGAAGTTCCTTGTGCGAGAACACCTCAAGCACTGAAGCCACCTAACTAATGCCTTGTAATAAGCCCCTGATGTTGTCCCATAAGCAGTCAGATGCCTCATCCCCAAATTTCAGGGATTCCCCCTAGTCACAAGTTACTTGCATTTATTTATTTATTTATTTATTTGTTTGTTTGTTTGTTTGTTTGTTTGTTTATACCCAGTTCATTTAGTGAACATGCTATCACAGTCTGTCACAGCAAAGATAGTTCTTCCTACTTCCACTGAGAGTCAGCAAAACAGAGTGTGTGCATGTGTTTTATGGGAAGCAAAGTTTTTCTTTCTTTCTTTCTTTCTTTCTTTCTTTCTTTCTTTCTTTCTTTCTTTCTTTCTTTCTTTCTTTCTTTCTTTCTTTCTTTCTTTCTTTCTTTCTTTCTGCAAAATATGCCACTTTGGCTTAACCTTAATTTTAACTGTTAATTGGTTAATCAGTGAAAGGGCATCTTATAAATTAGTCAGAGATTCCATAATCCAAAGAGGAGAATGGCCGTTCTCAAAACCAAATCAGTGCTGTAGCACAACAGAGTAAATCAATGAAGCTGCCTGGCAGAGAAGCACTAGAAGTTGTTATTGGAATTGCCTTCTTTATAGCTGATTCTTAATAATATCTTCAGAAGAAATTGTGTGATTGTCACTTCTTTCATCCTATAAATAATCTGTGTGAGACAACTGGTTCCAAATATTCTTAGCAATCCACACTTATCACATAGATAAGGACATATAACTCAGTTATTTTTAAATGGAATACAAACACCTTCAGTTTCATTTCTTCGCTTTTTAACACACATTTCATTTCTGTTTATTGTCGCTATTTATAAACTTTATAGTTATAATATAACAGCCAATAGGAATGAGAGTGGACATCAAATTGGCAGGTCCATATTATATATACTCTCTCCTCAACAAGTCAAGAGACTAGAACCCTTGTAGCCTGGTCCTGTCTATATACAACAAAAGTGTAACAAAACCAACAAATGCAAACAACAGCATTGTGGAACCTTTAAGATCAACAGATTTCTTTCAGTGCGAGCTTTTGTGGGTTGCAATCCCCTTCTATCTGCGAAAATAAATTGTAATCCAAACAAAACAAAAAAACACTGTCAGAAGTAATTGAATTTGATACGTGAAAAATCACACCAAAATGCATCTGCCACAATATTTGCTTTCTCTCTCTCTCTCTCTCTCTCTTTTAAAGGAAACAAGCTACCATCTGGTACCGATGATTTAAATCATCTTAACTGTTCAAAAATCAGTGTTCTCACTTGTGTGCACATACAATCTCTATGTGAATAGGAATGTCTTCCCTGAAAACATCAGACTCTACATGTAGAAAGTGATGGGGAGAGAGGTAGGGCTAGCAGCTCCCCTGTAATACGGGCAGCACATCCAGGGAAAGATTGCAGAGGGCTATAGAAATCTGCCCTTTTCCTAAAAGCATTCTGCATTTGGGTAGTAAATGCATATTTTAAACATATTGTAATATACCCATGTGCAGATGCATTCAAGGCAAATGCCCCTCTCCTCTGTCCTCATGTTTAAATCAAAACTATAAACTCCTGTATGTCCTCTACCTGGAAGTAAACCATCCAATATGGGATGAGAGTGAGCAGCACAGGCAGGATCTTTGTCATCACTTGAAAGTTGGAGACATCTTCCTGTGATGGCCCAGCAGGCTGGTGTCTTGTACCTAAAGGTGAACCAGTAACTTCAGTTTCTGACTGGGGGCTGCCTGTTCTGCAGAGAAAAAGGTAAACATAAACACATGTGGGTTTTAAAAACATGATCAGGAAATACAGTGGACTTAAATACAACTGTTGTAGCACAAAACTACATGGGAAAATGTGCTCCAAAATTGGCATGGATGAATTTGTAGAATTTTTCAATTACCACACAACATAAAGGTCAATGCGAATCAGCCCATTCTTTCTTCCTTCCATTCAGGATGTTTCTCCCCTGGCACCGGGGGCTTCAACCTTTTCCTGATCACAATGATTTGAATGGTGCTTCGTCTATATGGTTGTTTGTTTCATTTTACAAAAGGACTATGACTTCAGTGATGCACCAAGTTGGAGTGTAATGTTTTGGGACCTCAGAAACACTCACCCCGTGATCTTTTTAGTTGCCTCAATGTATTTATCTCTATTTTAAGAAAGAAACTACTGAGTCTAGTGCTAAATCGCCTTAGCACTGCATTGCTTCATTCTTTTAGCGCTAGACTATCTCCACACAAACAAAAGAGAAAAAAGAGATAAAAATCAATATAAAATTGAAACAACTTTGATAAATTCATAGACTCATAGAATAGTGAAGTTGGAAGAGGCCTATAAGGCCATCAAGTCCAACCCCTTGTTTGATGCAGGAATACAAATCAAAGGATATCTTCCAGGTGGTTGTCTAAGTTTTTCTTGAATACCTCCAGTGTTGGAGCATTCACCACCTCTTGAGGTAGTCGGTTCCAGCAGACTACAATGTTTCTGTGGTGTGTGTGCATATTTGTACCTGTATGTATGGAGAATTTTGGAAAACTGCCTCTTTTCCTCTGTCTCCATGCAACCTTTTAAACACCCTAAGATGCTTGACGGCAGAACATAAAAGGAGAGCTAGGGACAGTGAAGAGGGCAATATCAAAGGAAGGAGGGCTGTGGGCATGGACACTGGTGGACACTGGCATCAAAACAACCTAGGGTCTTCTTGCAGTCACCCAAACAGAACACAGTTGGAATCCTGCAGTCACCCAAACAGAACACAGTTGGAAAAAAAAGACTGCAAATCAAGCTGTTGCAGAAATCTTCTTCTTCTTGCCAATGTAGTCACACCCTAAGGTTCCCTGTTCCTGAAATAGTGCATTCACTTTCAAATCATATGAATTAATAAGGAAGGTTATGTAAAGTCCCAAGTAATTTTCTCCAGAAACCAGCACCATGTTCTTACAAGACGGCAGCACCCTTGAGCCTGGGCACTGACACTGCATCAAGAGGTGTTTGTAGGTCCAGTTATAAAAGCCTTGGGGGTAGAGAGTGAGGAATACTCACTGGTAGAGCACATGTATTACATGCATCCAATCCTGGTCTCTCCAGTCCAAACTATTCCTGCCTAAAACTTTGGATAACAAGCTACCACTTTGCATAGTCAATACCTTTGCTGAAGTAAATGCTCCATTGGTCAGACTTAGAATCAACCAGCTTCCTGTGAACTTTGTAGTCTTTACCCAGTACAAACAGAAGATACTTTTTTCCCCTTGTGGATTGCTTTATGTAAGTTATATACCAAATAATATAAAAACACCCTATAACCCCATGATTTTTTTAAAGTTCAGTATTCCCTTACTTTAATCATGGATTTCAATTTAGGCAAAGGTAAACAAATCACAAGATGGCAGGACTTATCCCATCATGAATTACAATGACTGAATATGTAGGTAAATGAGATATTAAAATGGGCTAGAAGACTTCAGGAGGCAGCTGGAGGATGCGGTTCTATTTTTTTAATGCTTCAAACAAAACAAAAACACTCTCTCTGTGGGCAGAAAACAAGCAGAGTTGGAGCAGACTAGACTAGAACATTTTTCTAATGGGCCATTTTTAAATTTACACACTGTCCTTCTCTAAAATTGCCTACACCCTGAAGTGGTAACATCCACTATTATCTCTGGATGCTGCTACCTCTTCCTAGTTGCATATGTACTTTTGGCCCTTGTTAATGCCCTCAAACTGAGGGGCAACAGCTCGTAGAAAAAGAACATCAATGCTTGGCCCTCCAGATTATTTTGCTCTGTAATTCCCATGGCCCCATACCACAATGCCTGATGGGACATGCAAATACTGTAGTGGCCTGCAGTTGCCCATTCCTGTCTTAAACCTTTCTGGCTGATCCATATAAGGTCTTTTTTGCAGAACAAATTTGCAACATATGAAATTTCAAAATGGTGCAGGGCTCATTTCTCAGCCACTTTCAAATTAATAGGACTTTGAGTAAGTGTAAGTGTAAACAGGACTGCAGCCAGAGGTAGTCTCCATTTAGATATCTTATTTAACTCCCAGTATGCCTGCCTAAATTTCTGCCATTGTATAAGGACATATGGCTGCTGAGAGGTGACCAAGTCCAACTCCCTAGTAAGTGTAAACGGGATGCAGCCAGAGGTAGTCTCCATTTAGATACCTTATTTAACTCCCAGAATGCTTACCTAAATTTCTGTCGTTGTATAAGGGCATATGGCTGCTGAGAGGTGACCAAGTCCAGTTGGAACACACCTTCTGTCTTACCTGATTTTAGTGGTCAATTTCTGAAGAGCCTGGCCACAGCAGCTGTTCTGGATGGCCAAGTGGAGCATGGTGGAGACTTGGCTGCCAGCAGCAGGCTTCGTGACAAAGACGGGGGCAGCCAGGAGGAAGACTAAGAGGGCCAGGGCCAGACAGACAGCAGGAATGGCATAGCCCGTAAGGAAGTCTACATTCTGCTGGATGAAGGCAACTACCAACAAAGAGAACACCGCCCCAATGTTAATACTCCAGTAGAACCAATTGAAGAAACGTCGTGTGGCATCCCGGCCGCGGTCTGTCACCTGCAAGATAAAACCAAGAGGGGCTCTGAAGCTGTGATCTCAGGAACAAGTCAATAGTATGTCTGAGCGGCATCCCGACCACGGTCTGTCACCTGCAATATAAAACCAAGAGGGGCTCTGAAGCTCAGGAACAAGTCAATAGTATGTCTGAGCCTGTATAAATTCCCTCTAGGTGGTCAGGTAGAGAGTAGCCAATTTAAAGGCATTTCATTATTCTGCTCCTTTCTCCTCTGCTGTTCCCTCTTCTTTTATGTTTAGGAACTACAAGTGTAGGAGGACCACGGTCTGTCACCTGCAATATAAAACCAAGAGGGGCTCTGAAGCTCAGGAACAAGTCAATAGTATGTCTGAGCCTGTATAAATTCCCTCTAGGTGGTCAGGTAGAGAGTAGCCAATTTAAAGGCATTTCATTATTCTGCTCCTTTCTCCTCTGCTGTTCCCTCTTCTTTTATGTTTAGGAACTACAAGTGTAGGAGGACCAGGATTAGAGGGCTGGTAATTGTGAATTTATTTGCTATGTATGAAAAGGAAAGAGTATGGGGCAGAAAGAGAAAGAGAGGAAGAATGAGAATGGAAGGAGGTGCAATTTAGCAGGGCATGGAGGTAGAGATAGAGAGAGAGAATCCTATCCTGACACAGGCCATCCTAATGGAGATGTTAGAAATAAATTTTTTTTTACTGCATCCCACTGCAATGCCCTGGAGAGGCAGTTATCAGTTTGCAAACAATTACGGGAAACGGATGAACTGAATAACAAAGATACACAAATATTAGATTGTGAGTGGGAGTTTGCCTGGGGTACCTAAAGCTTTCCTTGAACAAGTGGCAACACCTTATTTTGAGAAATTTAGTTGTGCAGGAACTTGGTGGCAATGGAGGATTACTCTGAAAGGTTTTGAGCAAGGAGGAAATTTATTGCCAGACAGACAGCTTCTTAGTACTACCAATCATTAGACATAGCATGCATATTCTACCTTTTCCTCCTTAATAGATTTTCTCTGGTAAGGAAAAAAAAGACAGATAGGTACAAGGGAAAGACACAGTCTTAAAAGGACATAATATAAACTCCTGTTAATGAAGCAGGTCAATAGCATGATGATCTGGAAGCATCTGAGAATTCAGCATATTAAGAACCTCTTGGATTTTTCCTGCACTGGAAAGGATGAAGATATGCTACTGTTCTGCCATAACGCTGTCTAAACTATTCACTGGAGAAATTTTCTCCCTTTTAAAAAGAAATCTGCAAAGATAGGGACTTAGCAATGTCAAATATGCAAAATAAAAAGTTAAGTGAAACAAATAAATAAAGCAAATTAAAACCACAAGCGCCTCCAAGAAAGAAAGAAATGGATGCTTTGTGAGGCTTTAGTGCAAATGCTTTGCTAGAAAGGGTGGGAAAAATACATAAAAATTAAACCAGAGAAACTTGTTTTAATGTAAACTGTCACGGTTGCATGTGTTTTTGCAATGTTTTAGATTTTTTTTAAAAAAAAAAAAGTAAACTGGATCATTAAGGGAGTATTAACACCTTTAGTACAATATTCTGAAACCATTCTCTCTCTTTTTGCATGTGTGCATACATTCTTAAATTTCCGTTGCTTTATGCAGAAGGGAGACAAATTTGAAATATATTATATTGAATTCAAAGAAAGGAAAATCATGACAGGAGTATCTAAAGCAGCACATAAAAACAGCATCTTGAAGAGAGAGAGAAAATCTGTTAATTGTCTTTCAAAATGTTTATCATTCTCTTAGCTAGAAAGCGCAGACAAAACATTAAAGCAGATCTGTCTTCAAACAACTCAAACCATAGTATATCCCACCAAAACAAACAAATGTACTCCATACGAAAGAAAAGTTATCTCTTATTTCCAATGCCATATATCAAGTTTTCCTAGGTGTGAACAGAGAGATTCCTTACCTGGTCAGCCCCGAATGGCGTGAGGTTGGCTTTGATGGAGCTGATGCCCAGGGCAAGGAGCAACAAGCCAGTGTACATGACGGGGCCACAATATTGACCTGGCAATTGCTGCTGGCATGTTTTGTCACCTTTTTGGCACGAAGGTTGTACAGGGTAAGCTGGCATCTCTCCACACAGCCAAAGCCGTCCATCCGGGGAGGCTATGGCAGGCAACAGGCAGGCCATCACCAGGTACAGCAGGAAACTGAAGGCAATAGTCCAGTAACGGCCCAGGTAGGCATCAGCCAGCCAACCTCCAATGGGCGAAAGTAAGTAGGAGGCACCCAGAAACAGCAGGGCTGCCCGCGAAGCCTGAGACCCACCCCAGTTGAAGTTGCTGCTGTTGAGGAAGAGGACGAGGTTAGAGACGATGCCAAAGAAAGCCGCTCGCTCCAGTATCTCCACCAGCAGCACAGCCGCACAGGCGGCCTTTCTGCCTTCAAAGGGGGACAAAGCAGGCCTGTTTAGGGACTTCTCTTGCCCCAGGAGGGGCTTCCTCTCCCCCCGGACTGCTGGGGAAGCCATGGAAGCCCTCCCTCGAAATCCACAGTCCACTTCTCACTGCAGGCCCCGGTCCTCTGCTTTCTCGCCTCCTCTTGCTTTTCCGTCAGTATTTTTGTCTGAGTCTTGTTTTGCTGACCCCTGTTTCTTGCACATTGTCCTACATTCTTTAAAGCCTTGTTGATCTCCTCTTTCTTCAGAACCTTTCAGTGCTGCTTCACTTCCCTATTTCTCTGTTCAAATACAGACATCATATGACAGCTCATTTCCCTAAAAGGAAACTTTCAGATTACACTGGCCAGAGTGGGTTCCCTTTTCACACGAATCTTCACATGCTTCCTCCGCCCTCCTTTTACAAGCACCCACCCCTTACATAAAAGGATAACAATTACTGTATTTAGCAAATTGGCCAAAATGCAGTTTTCTTCCCCTTTCCTCAAGTTGTCGGCCTCCTTCAGAGTCAGGGCACAAGAGCAGATACTGGACAGTCACAAAAATTGGTAGACGCTTACCCCCAACTTTTATGCTTCCTTATAAGATAGTAAACAATGGATACCGATGCTAATTTAACTCCTTATCACTTCCGAATGTTTTTTAAAGGAAAGAAGTAAGCAGGCCTTGTGTGAGAGAGGTAGATTGTAGATCTCAAGCTGCTAGATAAAGTTTCAATGTACTGCAGTGCTTCTCTGGGCTGGAAGAAAAAGCCCAAGGTGAGCAGCACTGAAAGATGGAAAAGTATGTGTGGGTTTATTTTTATTTTTATTTTTATTTTTATTTTTTTTGCTGAACGATGGCTAAAGAGCCTCAGCATTCATCTTTTCTCTCTTCCAGATGGCACCAGGGCTCACTAGCACATTTAGTGTACTATTGTCACACCAGAAAGGAACAAGGAGAGGGGACTGAGAAGAGAATCAATTGATGCATGCCTTAGGCCAACAATGGCGAACCTATGGCATGCGTGGCACAGCTGGCAAGCAGAGCCCTCTCTGCGGGCATGCGAGCCATAATGCTGGATCACTACCCCTGGCAGCCAAACCTGAGGAGGCGGCTGCAGCTGCAGTTCTTGCGCCCTGACAGGTGGCAAACCAGGATCTGGAGCAGCTGGCGCTGGCGGGGTAGGGCGCGACTGGAGGCGGATCCAGAGTGGGGTCACCAAAGCAATTCCACCCCCCCTGCAAGCATTTGTTTACTGTTATGATATTTGTGATATCATAAGGATCACCCATATAAATCACAAGGATGCATACTTTGATCTCAAGTCATACCCCTAAAATCTCAGAAAATGGTGTGCTGCTAGCCTGGTGACACTATTCTATTTTATCTATCTATTTATTTATTTATTTAACTTATATGCCACCCACACTATCCAAAGGTCTCTGGGCAGCTTACAACAATTTACCTACAGATAAAAGATAAAACAATTAAAATATATACTCCAAAATTGCCATCAGGACCCACAGCTGATATTATTTCAATTAAAAGCCTTCTGGAACAGGAAGGTTTTGACCTGGTGCCGAAATGCCATCAGCGTCGGCGCCAGACGAATCTCAGTCGGGAGGGCATTCCATAGTCTGGGGGCAGCTGCCGAAAAGGCCCTTTCTCTACCAGCCGTCCCTCTTACCTCCTTGAGGGACGGCTCTTTCAAAAGGGACCCCCTCGCTAGATCTTAATTGCCGGGTAGGTTCATATGGAAGGAGGTGGTCCTTCAGGTATCCAGCACCCCAGCTGTTTAGGGCTTTATATGTCAAAACAAGCACTTGTGTCATAATAGGTACTGTTGGGTCCTTGCCAAGGCCCCAAACTCAGCAATAAGCCTATGGGGAAAACCTGGAGTGTGCTGTAATCACTGCTTAGCCTAAGTGATGTCACTTCATGTTCATGTTGCAAAGTTTTGAATTTCTAGTTGCTACACAGTAGAAGTGCATAGATTCACAGAGGGAAATAGCTAGAAGTTCCCCACAATTTACCCCTTTCTCATTAACTGGAACTTAAAGGCTCAATAACTCACATGAAAACATTTGTAAGGTGAAAGAATAAAAATGTTTCCTCAATTACAGTTGCTTGAAATTGTGTGTATGCTGATTTCTTTCCTGCACACATATTAGCAACCAAATGAACAGATCAACAGCAACAAAAAACCTGCCACCGGCTTACAAAAGAGAGAAAGAAAACACTCTACAGAGAGGTGAGGCTTTCTTTGAGTTTCAAAAGCTGAAAGGATCAATTGGTTAATGCTGAATAGATAATCCCCCCCAACCCAGAAGAGTCCTTCCCTGTCACTCAAACAAGAGACAGCATGTGAGGTTGTAAATAAAGCTCCAGCAGTTCCTCTTCCATCCTCCCAAACAGAGGGCTCCTTGCAGCATCAATGAAAAGATGCTACACAGCTATTCCATTTTAAATACTGTGATGGAGAGGAAAAGAATAGGGGAGCTGATGAGAGAAATGGAAGGTTTATGAATGAAAGACAAAATTATTGGGAGACATGCATGTATGCATACATGTCTTGGAAAAGTTACTGTTTAGGACTATTTAAAAAAAAACCTGAGTCTGCATAGGCAATGGTGATGTTGGCTGGGGGATTCTGGGAGCTGTAGTTTAACACAGTAACTTTCCCAAGCTCTGCGTGCAGCCTTAACATTGCACATGTAAGGCACAGTGATTGCCCAATAAAAGCGTAATCGGGGAGCACCTCCATCCTTTTTGAATGAGCTGGTCATGAAAAAAGTGAGGTGAAGAAGAAGCATCACTTTCCACGTATGTTACCTGTAGGTTGTGTGTGTGTGTTTGTGTGTGGAGATCATGACCTGAAGGAGAGCACAAGCACAGGGCCAGCAGTGACAGCAGCAAAGGAGAGGTGGTGGGGCAACTTGTAGCACCATGCTAAAAGATCCCTTGTCCACACTTAGGACTACCATTAATTAGCTTTTTTGGTGGCAGAGACATAATCATTGCACATTTCCTACTGTTGAGAACGTCATGCCCTGACAGAGGATTGAATTAGATGATACTTGAGCTCCCATTCAACTATAAAATTCCAGAGCTTGGAAAAGTTACAATGTCCTGAATTGTAATTTTTTTTATGTTGCACATGATGTGCTGTTGGCTTATGATAACCCTTACAAGATTTTCAAGCTATGTCAGATATTTAAGCAGTGGTGTTACCCATGCTGCCGCCACCCCATGACTTTCTGTGGCAAAGCAGGGATTTGAATCCATGTCTCCTGGGTTGAATTTGATACTCTGTCTTGTACACCAGCCTCTCATTAGCTTTTGAAAGCTCAACACAGTTTTGGGATTCTTTTAATCATTTGTCCTTCCAACAGTGTTGCAAATACATCCAGTTCTTTGTGTGTTTCTTTCAAAAAGGAATAATAAACCTACAATAGCTTCTGGCTGGATAGTGTTTGTTTTACTGCATGCTCTCTGCTTTGTGGTACCTCTGCCTGTGTACTTTTGCATTATCTGTGCTTTAGAGCTATTTAGATGAACAAAGGTAGAACTGGGGATTTCCCACCACTGAATGTGGAATCATTTAGTATGGAGGACCTGCTTAGAACTAATGTTTCGAAAGTTCATAAATCAAGGTGAAATGAGCTGTTTTGACAACCAGCCTTAGCAATGCTTCTGGGTTTGTCTGTTTTTTAAGTCTTTCTCTTGTGGTTTCTGTCTTGATGAGTAAGTCAAAACTCCCTGATTAGGACATTTAGGGAAAGAAAATTAGAATCCATGCTGTGAACTCATGAAAATAATCAATTAAGCTTCCATATAGCTGTGCTTAAAAAAGAAAACACCAGAGGAACTGCTTACTTTCAGCCTCAGCCTGGGAACAAGCAACTTCAAAGGGAAAAGGGAATTAAATTCAGACAATATAAGAAGTATAACAAATTATATTCCTAGAGGAAGAAGACATTTTAGGGAAGTGAAAAGTCTATGAGGCAGGGGAGAGAAGAAGGCTTTCTTCACTGGTCTTTGAAGCAAGACATCTTGTTTTCTGGGATGGAGCAGCAAATGGCATGACACATCCATCCAGTTCAAGGTGCAGAATACTCAAAGGCAGTGGGGGGGAAATATCACTTGATCCATCTTGATTTGCATTTTATCAAATTGGGTTTGAAATCTCAGTAGCCATCCAGATGACAATTTGCAGGAGTCATCAAGGTAGAGGTAGAGAACTGTATTTGCATGAAGCTCTAAGAGCAGAAGCTGCATTAAGGTTCTAATAAGGTGCTAACTGTCAATTTTGACCTCTTTTTTCTTTCTTTAGTGTTCCTAAGTGTCACAGAGAAACTCTGTTCCACTGCTAAGTTGAAACTTAAACAAAAAACCAAAAACCAACAACTAAACCAACTCTCCTAAGTGTCACAGAGAAACTCTGCTAAATTGAAACTTAAACAAAAAAACCAAAAACCAACAACTAAACCAACAAAAACAAGAACCAGAAACTGGAGGAAAAGGGTGCTTAGTTCAGGGGAACTGACATTTCCTCATGTGCCCCTTTGCTTTGGATCAGGCAATCACAGCGACCAAAAGTAAAGAGAAACAATATCAATGCAACTGGAAGAAATGTAAACCACCTATGCCAGCTAAACAAAGAAGAAGAAAATGAAGAAGAAGAAGAAAATTCTCCAAAATGGACTTCCCTTCACTGAGCTTTACCTCATGTAGCTACCAGTTTTTAATTCACATTAATCTGGAGCCAGTCTGAAGCAAACTGTGGGGTAAATGACCTGAGCAGCTGCCCTCTAATCTGTGTTGACCCATGAGAAGGAGAAGCCCCAAAGTACATCTCTTCATCAGTGGAAGTAAAAAATGCTTTAATAGTCAAAAGAAAAAAGAAAAAAAGAGGAGACATTAACCGTTTCTTGTCATTTAATGGCACTAGAAATCAGCTGCCTGAGTCAGCCAGCTCATTCTGCCAGAGACTGTGTAACAGAGGTACTCCAGAGGTGGCATAAAGTTTGGAGACTTCTGCATTGATTGATTGAGAAAGGAAAGGTGAGCGCTCTGACTCCCACGCCAAGCCGACATTACATTAAGGATGAACAAGAGAGGTATCCTTTTGATCCCTGCCTTGATTTTAGGCCTGTTGTGCTTCAAGAACTTATGGTTCCAGCAGGTGTTCCAAGTGGCACCCCCAAGCTGTATCATCTGGGATCAGCCATCAAGGAGGGACTGGAACCTGTGAAGAACAGAGCCCCTGATCTCTAAACTCAATAGCCTACCTGGAAGGATACTGCGATTGAAGTATCAAAGGCCAAAGAAAGATCC